CCCCTGGGGACAGAGGGGTCCAGATCTTCCTCCAACTCACAGTGCTGTGACATGATCCTACCTGCTTTCTTTCCCCACTTATAAAATAATAAAGTTTAGAGCACCTATCCTACCTGCTCCAAAGATATATCTATACACACATATATATGTGTATATCTGTATACAGATATAGATTGATATAGATCTGTCTATCAGTATATCAATCTATCTATTTATCTGGAGGAAGAGAGGGAGAGGGAGATGTAGAGAGACAGAGAGATTTATAATAGGAATCAGCTTACTGTGAGAAGTCCTATGATCTGTTTGCCAGCTGGAGACCTGGGAAGCTGGTGGTAGCATTCATTCTGAGACCAAGGACCTGAGACTTGGAAGACCAACAGTATAAGCTCTGGTCTGAGTCTGAGGCCTGAGCGTTGGAGCACCAAGATCTCAGAGTAGGAGAAGGTGGATGTTCCAACTCAAACAGAAAGAACAAGTCTGCCCTTCCTCCACCCTGTTGTCCTGTTTGGGCCCTTAGTGAACTGGAGGATACCTGCCCACATTGATGAGGATCATCTCTACACAACCTACTGAGTCAAATAATATTTTCTTCCAGAAACGCACTCACAGACATATCCAGGAATAGAATTTTACCAGCTATCTGGGCATCCCTTGGCCTAGTCAAGTGAGCACGTGAAAACGGCTAGCACAGAGACAGCATGTCATGTGGCGTGGAGAGCACATCATGTGTGCTGCTGTTTACCTCCCATTGCAGCCCGGTGTGACACGCAAGCTGCCTCTAGCTTACAGATACTGAGATTGATCAGTAGGTTCAGTAACAGCCAACCCGATATAGTCATTGAAAAGTCATCATCAGCTATTAACAGTTTAACAGATCCTAATGACCTTTGGAGATATAGATATACATATCTAAAGGTCACTTCAGTGCTCACAAAAGGATAGTTTCTGGCCACCCTTGGTGCAGGAGGGTGATGCTGTGATATATATATAGATATAGAAATAGCAATAGATATAGATATATATGGCCAGGGATTTAAATGTTTCTAACATTCCTTCATAATTATACATTGAATTTGTCTTTTAAAAATTCCTGGCCAACTCGTTGGCTATGGTGAAGTATAGCTCATGTGGGAAATGCAAGATAAGCACACATTTTTTTACACCTCACTACCAGCTTCTGGAATAATCAGTTTGTTTCTTAACATCCTCTAAAGGCTTTGAGGAAGTAGCAAACTCGGTGTGTTTGAGGGGCAAAGGGAAGCCTGAAGCAGGTCTAAGTTGGAGGGGCAGAAGGATAGCAGTTCGATAAAAAGCAGGGTCCTGCTCTCCTTCTTAGAATATTTTGATTACAAAATCAAGATTGTTTGTATGACCTTAATGGACCAGGGGAGTGTCCACTAGCTAACAGTTGGGAAAAGGCCATCACATCTTCTGAGGTTTTTATACAGAAACAGTGAGAAAATGCTGAATTCATACATTTGAGAGGGGCAGGGAGAGATGAGGTAACATTATGTTTTGACCCCATGCTACAATTTTATAGTCAATGTACCAGATGTACTTGGAATTAGGAGGACCTGGAAGACACTGTATCATGAACAAAGTCACAATGGCAAAAGTACGATCAGCATTTCCTCCTCTGTCCCACCTGCTACCAGAGCCCCCTCCCAGTGAGGCCACAGCCACACTGAGCTGTGCTCTGTCTTCTCTGTGGATTTACAGTCCCAGGCTCATGACCACGAGGAGGACCTGGTGAGGGTTGAAGATGCGGACTTACCATGCCAAGCACTTCTAACTGCTCACAGGGTTTCACTCACCTCACTTCAGGTGCTCTTTGGAGCAGGTAGGACAACTCACCTTCATTATTTTACAAGTGGGGAAAGAAAGCAGGCAGGGTCATGTGACAGCACTGTGAGTTGGAGGAAGATCTGGACTCCTCTGGCCCCAGGGGCACAGTTGCTCACCTCAGTACTCACAAGGGGATGGTTTCTGGCTGCCCTTGGTGCAGGAGGGTGATGCTGTGATGCTGTACAGCTGAGGATGATGGATAATTCAGCATCACTGCTTGTGGCTGTCATAAAATGCTTTAGCTGGAGTAAGTATGCAAATTTTTTTAAGAGTCTCAAACTCTCTGCAGTTGAGATGCTTTTCATGCACCTTCAAAACTCTTGTAGAAACATCAACTTCACCCCCAACAAGGAGAGAGAAGAGGCCCTGGGATTGGGAGGGAGGGTTGTGATATTTCAGCAGGTCCTGAAACCACAGAGTCAAACCACCGCCTCACACTCATGCATTTGCCTCCCATTGATGCTGTTAGATGCAGTCCATTTAGCGTGACTTCACAAGCTGGAGGAAGAAGAGCCCAGAGAGCTCATTATCAGGAGCTGTCCAGGAAGGTGTGGGAACAAATTCTGAATTCATTAAACTTTCATTTGAATAATGAGTGCATGCTATTTATTTTATTGTTGGGCTGTTCCAAGACGAGCAATGAGGCTCCCTCCTGTGGAATGCCTGGTGGCTGGGGGCTGCCTTTCTCTGCTTGGAAGAAGTGAGAGATTCACTTTTAACTCCCTCTTATTGGAGGAAACACACACGTCTGGGACATTGCAGGGTGACTGTCAGCTCTTCTCCTGAGGCATGGCCTGGGGTTAGCCATGCATCATTTTGGCCATCCATCTGCATATTTTGAGACTGCTCTCTGTCGTAAGCACTACGGGCATCTAAAATCTGGTGATTTAATCTCCCTCCATTATATCTTAGTTTGTCATGGAGCAATGGTTTATTGCAATCTCTACTTTGACCAGGCAGTGAAAGCAAGAGGGATAGCATTCTGCTGGGTGCATGAGCCTACCGCAGGTGCGTCAGGAGACTGCTGAGGGAAGGGAGTTCTCACAAAATGTTTAGCGGCATTTGGTTGATGTCACCCCGGGTTCTGAGAAAGGATGGGTATTTCTGACCTGGAAAATGATTATTTGTCTTCACAGTTGGCTACGGGGGCTTGAGACTTTTACAGCCATTTACAGGTTAACCAAACGAAGCTTCATGTGCGTATTTTCCTTATAAACTCATGGCAGATGGTGTTGTAGAGTGACTGCACCTCTCGCACAGGATGTGAAGAAGTCAGACAGATTTCCACACCCCTTCATTTCCACACCACTGTTTTCACTCCATCTGGCGATGTGGTTTCATTGAATTTGTTCCCCCCATAGCAGTTCTTACCTGAATAAAAGCATCAGGGGTATTCATCCATTAATCTTAATTTGGGTCACAAGAACCCACACCAGCACTCAAAAGAATCACATTGAGAAAAGTGATTATAAGACAGTGATATTGAGGCCCAGTGCGGTGGCTCACACCCGTAATCCTAGCACTTTGGGAAGCTGAGGCAGGGGATCACTTGAGGTCAGGAGTTTGAGACCAGCCTGGGCAATCTGGTGAAACCCCATCTGCATTTGGAAATGTACTAAAAATAGATAAAGTAGCTGGGCATGGTGGCACATGTCTGTAATCCCAGCTACTTGGAAGTCTGAAGCATGAACATTACTTGAACCCAGGAGGCAGAGGTTGCAATGAACTGAGATTGTGCCATTGCACTCCAGCCTGGGCGACACAGTAAGACTCTGTCTCATAAAAAGAAAAAAAGGAAAAAGACAGTGACGCTAAAATCATAGTTACAGGCTTACTCAGCATAGACAGTATTCTGCATTTGGAAATGTATGGGTCTCTGGAAAGGCTGTATGCAACCTGAAATCCCCTGGGACATCTTCCTCACTGGCTTTCACAGATCTTAGAGCTTCACAATTATTTAATAGAACCTCTATTTCTCTGGGCTCCTCGGTGCTCCTTTGTATTAGTACCAAGTAATAAAATATTCAACTAAGAGGCTTGAAACAAGAGGAGTTATGTCATGACTATCTCAAGAAGCCGAGAGCTGGAGTCTCAGGGTTGTCTCAGGAGTTCTCCCATGATTCTAGGACCCCAGGCTCTTTCCCTCTTACTGTGCATGCTCCTCAGCATGTTGTCTGGCTTAATCTTACCTTCTCACAGTCTCTTGGTCACAATATGGCAGCCAGAACTCTAAGTATCACATCCTCACTCATTCACATCCAAACGCAGTAGGATGACAAGTGTTTTGTCTTCATCCTCTCCCATGCCCCTTTTCACAAGCAGGAAAAGCTACACAGGAGGTCACACGGATATCTTTTCAGATTCCATTGACTCATATTGGGTCCCATGTCCTCTATGAAGAGCCTGGGAAAGTGACTGTGTGTCCAGCATCAATTATTAAAGGACGCTGGCTCCATCAAGCAGAAGGAAGGAGAGAGAGCTGTGGGCAGGCACTCCAGAGCATTGTTGCCCGGGAAAATCTTTTTAATCCAGGTTTCCTCAGTGAGTAGTCAGGGATTAAGCTTCATCAGTCATCATTCTTTTTTGTGAATTAATTCTCCATCCCTCTTTTCCTTCTGGCAGGATCATCAGGTCTGATGAGGCTGGGGAAGGAATTTGCGGCGAGTACAGCAATGAGTGCATGTGGGGAGGGTCCCCGAGAGGTAATTCGGCTATCTGTCAAAAGGACAAGGATGCTCAGAGCTGCAGCCTGGAGGCCTGAGGCCTGAATCAACTGCACTGACCTGCCATGTTCAAACTGCACAGGAAAAACAAAAACATTATTTGCTTTAACAAAATTAGAAGCTTTTATAAAATTAAATGAAAATTCCAAATTTTGGCCTCTTGCAAAAAACACAGAAGACGGGAGACACTGGGTCTGCATCCTAGGAGTAGCACTCCAAGGAAGATGGGCTCCTGGGGGCGCCACTGCCCCCACCCCTACACCTCACCCCTGCTCCCCAGGCCTCCGCCTGCCAGGCTTTGAAACCCAGGCTGCTCTCCTGTCTCTGCTGGGCGTGCCCTGGGCTGGATGAACTAATAAAGGGCTGGCATTGTTGGGGGGGCACTTGGAGCAGGCCCATGACAGAAGCCCAACCAGAAACACCAACTCCTGCAGCTCTCCAGGCCTGGGCCATGGAGTAAAGTGGCATCACTCACAACATTCACAGGAGTGATGTGAAAGTCATGCTCTGTGAAGTATCTCACCCACAGCACTGTTTCCTGGGGCCCTCTTGATCCCTATTTTAAAATGAGGAGGCTGAGGCAATAAGGAAGTGGAGTCACTCCCCTGCATAACCAAAGGAAGACTCATTCCAGGGCCCTTGTGAGTTCAGCTTCTGAGGAGCCTAGCACCCTGGGCAGAAGCAAACACAGGTTTCCACCTCTTGACCGCAGATAGGTGGAGTAGTCCAATGCTGGGAGGGAATCTGGGGACCCTGACGGTTCTCTTTGGTAGGGGAAAGGGACACTGGTGGGTCTGGGAAGAGGGAGCTGGAGGATGAGGGGCCATCACCATTGAGCCAGTGTGATGGTCCCTATGTAGAGGAACCCCATGTGTGGAGGGGTCATGGGCACCCACCTCATGGTGGTTGTGATGGCAAATGGGCAAAGGTAGCACAGATCTCAGTGCAAGTGCCGGCACAGACAGTGCTCAGGAAAGGTCGCTTATGAGCTGGTTACATTTCTCTTAAAATCGCTGATTTGTCTGTCAGGATGCCATCACCCTATCAATTCAGGTGTTCCAGATACTAAATTCCTGTTAATTAAGAGGGTCAAGTTATAAGTTTATTAACCAAATACTTGATAAGCAACTCCATATTAACAGTATTCACAAGTACAAGGAGCATGAATATTACAACTTCTTATAGGAAAATAAACACGCAAAGAACATACGAGCAGGTCCCATTCATATGGCCCCAAAAGGCGAATGGAGATTCACTAGCATCTCATCACTAAAGGGCTTATGTTTCAAGTAGCCCAATCTAGTTTATATTTTCTTAAATACTACATTTTACAATAGAAACATATTTTTAAATCTTATATTTTAAACTTTAACACAATCCTAAACATCCCTTAATCTGTCACCCTTGAAGAGATTTAGGTGAATTTCATGGAGTTTTCTTCAAAAAAGAGACATATGAGACACTTTAAAAAGGAAATTTGTGTGTCTCTTTATTGTGGTCATATTCCAGCTTTACAAGGCCCCCATCAATGCTTCCAGAATGACTTGTTCTCCATCTTTCACATAAAAATCTCAGCCCCAAATGTTGAAAGCACAAAAAGAAGCTGCTTTCTTGATCTGTTCACACTGCTGTAAGAAAACACCATAAATCGGGTAGTTTGCAAACAATAGAAATCGATTTCTTACAGTTTTGGAGGCTGAAAGTCCAACACCCAGACACGGCAAAGCATTGAACTCCAGCTGCTGGCGTTTCCATCTCAACCCCACCTTTTCTTTAAATGTTTGTTGGTTTAAATCGTTAAGGACATTTAACACCAGATCTATCCCCTTGCTAGTTTTTTTTTTCTTTCTTGAGAAAGAGTCTCACTCTGTCACCCAGGCTGGAGTGCAATGGGGTGATCTCGGCTCACTGCAACCTCTACCTCCTGCGTTCAAGCAATTCTCCTGCTTCGGCCTCCTGTGTAGCTGGGATTACAGTCATGCACCACATGCCCAGATAAGTTTTGTGTTTTTAGTAGAGACGGGGTTTTACCGTGTTCGTCAGGCTGGTCTCAAACTCCTGACCTCGTGATCTATCCGCCTCTGCCTCCCAAAGTGCTGGGATTCCAGGCGTGAGCCACTGCACCTGGCCCCCTTACTAAATTTTAGAGTGTACAGTATGTATCGTTGACTGTAGGCACAGCGTTTTTAACAGATCTCTAGAAGGTATTTATCTTAAATAACTGAAACTCTATACCCATGGAACAGCAATTCCACACTTCCCCTCCCTCAGCCCCTGGCAATGACCATTCTTCTCTCTGCCTCTAGGAGTTTCTGCATTTTGGAGACCACATGCAGGCTGACTCCTGCAGACTTTATCCTTCTGGGACTGGCTAACTGAATGAGCATAACGCCCTTTGCATTCCTGTGTTCACTGCAGCATTTTCCACAACAGCTCAGATATGGGAACAGCCTCTGTGTCCACCTATGAATGAATGGATAAAGAAAAAGTGGCATGTTATTCAGCCCTTAAAAGAAGATTCTGCATATGTGACAACATGGATGAGCCCTCTCCTTTGTTTCTGTAAGTCAGGAGCTGATTTCATGGGTTTGTGGTCATGCCATTGCTAGGAAGGGTCTGCTCTGTGAGCATCATCTGGAAATTTTAGTAATTATGTTTTTCAGTCTGTGTTTAGTGACTTCTGATGGGACAACAGAGCATATTCCAGAGGCTGGGACTCTCAGCTTCGGCAGAGTCTTAGCTCCTGTGTCCTTCCTGGCCCCCAGAGGAGGTGTTGTACTGTCTGCTCCTTTTCCCCTGACAGGCTCTCCTCCCACCCTCAGCCAGGACTGCTGCTTCACCCCCAGGGCAGCAGCCAACCTATGCTGGTTGGGAAGTACCACATTCTACCATTGCTTCCTGCTCTATGGGCAGGTGTAGAAGACATCACGGTCGTCTGGATCCTCAGGGTCATGCACACTCCACATGGTGCATCCGAGTAACACAAGGAGGCAGCTGTTCCCACCCCAGGCTGGCAGCATCATGGCAAACTCGACAATAGACTCTGTAGGGGAAATCTCATCCACCCCTGGTCCAGATGCCAAGCCCAGCCTAGAATGCAGGTTGCAATGCCATAGGTCTTCTCTCTGTTATGAGCTGGGGTGGTGGACATGTGAGAGGAGGAGGTTGAGTTTCTGGGTCCCAGGTGGGGTCTGTATTTCCATTTCACACTGCAGACTACGTAGCCAGGCCTGGTGATAAGACTGGGATGTCTCCTTCAGCCTGGGTTCCTGTGGGAGGATGATGCTGAGAAGAGCCTTTACTCTTTACCCATGCTCACCAATAACATGAGGGAGAAATCTCTGTCATTGTGAGCAACAGAAATGCCTTGCTGTCATTACCTTGACGGAACCTTGACACTTCCGACATGCCCAGTGCCTGAGCTTCCTCCACTATATAAATGGAAATAATACCGGGTGCCTACCTCAAAATGCTTCTGTGGGGATTCCCTGAAATGCTGTGAAATAAATGACTTAGCATAGCACCCTTTATATATTAAATGTGCACTAATTATGAGCTTTATTCATGCATTTGCTTATTTTATTTGGGATGACATGAGAAGGGATTTGTGCTTCCTTCAACGCCTGGTCCCTGGATGGCCTGAGCCAAGTGTGTCCAGGAACCAGAGGGCACCAATCTATGAAACCCTGCAGGACTGGGGCTGAGCATGGCCTTCGTTTTTAGGTCATGGGCACTGGGATGAGTTTTCAGGCAGGAGGGGGCCCTAACTAGATGGAGTGATTTAGAACAATCCCTCACAGGCTCCTCGGAACTAAGAGGAATGGGGAGCACTAACTGTGGACTGGCCGTCATCATTAGCCAAGCTGGCCAACCAGGACGTGGGGGACACAAGGCTGTCAGCTGTGTGACGTGAACTCAGCAGCCCATGTGCTTTTCACTTCACGTCCACCTCCCTAGCCTGCCCTTCCCACACTCCAGCCCCTGTGTGCCAGTAACTCAAGACTCACGCTATCTGAGCACCCAACACTCCCTTGCATGGGTTCGGCCATGTCTGAGAGCACATGCTACTCATGCTATCACCTGTGTACCCGGGCCTGTGCAAAGACATGAACACACACACACACACACACACACACACATTGAAAGTGACGTGGATTTTCTAGAAATAATTTCAAAAGACACGTGATTTCATTATTTTAAATAGAAAGTCACCATCACTTGCCACAAATAGAAGACACGCAAAACTATATTATAACAAAATGTTTAAAAATTCTAGCCACATTTAGTTTTCTGTTAAATTCTCTGTGCCAGAGGCCTGATTTCTTTTGCTATGAAAGAATATCAGGGCCAGGCGTGGTGGCTCACACCTGCAATCCCAGCACTTTGGGAGGCTGAGGTGGGCGGATGTCTTGAGGTCAGGAGTTAGACACCAACCTGGCCAACATGGCGTAACCCCATCTGTACTAAAAATACAAAAATTAGCCAGGCATGGTGGCACACACTGTAATTGCAGCTGCTAGGGAGGCTAAGGCAAGAGAGTCGCTTGAGCCTGGGAGGCAGAGGTTGCTGTGAGCTGAGATCACACCACTGCACTCCAGCCTGGGTGATAGAGCAAGACTCCATTTCAAAAAATAAAGATGAAAGAAGGAAAGAGAGAGAGAAAGAAAGAGAGAAAGAGAGAAAAAAAGAGAGAAAGAAAGTAAAGAGAGAAAGACAGAAAAAGAGAGAGAGAAAGAAAGAAAAAGAAAGAAAGAAAGAGAGAGAGAGAAAGAGGAAGGAAGGAAGGAAGGTGGGAGGGAAGGAAGGAAGGAGGGAAGGAGGGAAGGAAGGAGGGAGGGAAGGAAGGAAAGAGGGAAGGAGGGAAGGAAGAAGGGAAGGAAGAAGGGAAGGAGGGAAGGAAGGAGGGAGGGAAGGAAGGAAAGAGGGAAGGAGGGAAGGAAGAAGGGAAGGAGGGAAGGAAGGAAGGAAGAGAGAGAGAAAGTGAGAGAGAAAGAAAGACGGAAGGAAGGAGGAAAGGTCAGCAGGGTTAAAGGCAAAAGGTGCACATTCCATGAGAATGACTCAAAGATATTAATATGAAATTATTCTGTGATTAAAACAATTCTATGACTGTCTAAGCATCTAAATCGTCTCCTTGCTAAAGATGACCATCACCCATTCCACCAGGGGTCTGTTCTTCACCTTCTATGACCCAGGGCCCTTGGAGAGTAGAAACGCTCTTGTATGAATGGGTGGACACACAGGTGATGCAGCGGCAGGAGTTTCTGTCTGCCATGACGGGGACGTTTTCTGACAAGGTGCAAAGGAAGGTGCCTCAAGTGCTCCAGAATTATTCTTCATCTAGAAATAACCTTATCTTAAGCCATTACTTCCTGCAATATTTTTTACTTGTTCTCTTGAAAACAAGGAGATAATCCTGCCTTTGGATACCCCAAAACTTTGCTGCACATATTAGAATTTAGTTCTTCAGTTTCTTAGGTTTTCAAAAAATTCATCCTGAAGAATGTTTCTTAAGTCGAGTGTTTTTCTCCAGAGGGCAATATATGTTATGAGGAGGTGAGCTGTGGATTTAGCATTCTGCTTGCGTTTTATACTAAACCGTTACGGGATCTCAGTTTCATCTCTGGGATGGAGATAATATTCCGAGTGTCACATTTCTTTTCCACTGCAGTGGTTTCAGGCATAGTCACTGAAGATACGTATAGCAAATCCTTCCATGTTTCTGTAAAGTGAAAAATCGATAACGGGGATCGGAATCTCCGTCTCCCTCAGCCCAGATTCATTCTTCTTCCTCTTTGTGGTGTATACTTTCCATGTATGATCGATCAGACTTTAATGGAGGAGCATTTTTGCCTTTGAGGAGAAAAGAGAGCTACTTCACTGACTGTGAGTAAATGAGGATTCTTTGAAGACGTGGAGGGCTTGTGTCCCTCTGTGCTGTGCGCAGCACACGCCTGCCCTGTTCATCTTCGTCCTGGTTGCACCTGTGCAAAGAAATGCCCAGGGACTGTGCTGCCCATGCAGGGACCCCAGAGGGTGAGGTTTCTCAGTGCGCCTCGCGCCTTCGGGGTGACGTGAGGCATTGCAGCAAGTGAGCATTGAATCTGAGGGCTCAGGAGCACCTTCTACCATTGCTCCATTTGATCATGTGCCAGATGGCCTCTGGCGAGTCACTTAAATTCTCTGGGCCTCCTCTGAAAATTAGATCCAATGACACCAGCGCTTCCTGTTTCATAGGATTGCATGGGGCTCCCAGGCAACTCCACAACAAACTGTGGAATATGAGGCAAGAGATACACAAACAAGCATGTGCATTACTCAGACAAAGGCTGCGTCCTATGAGATAAGGGGCCGTGTTCTTGTAAGATTCCTGTGAGCTTTGTAGGCTTCAGGGGCTGAAGGAAAAGAATTTCAAATGAATGAAGAAAGAAGAATCAGACAGGAATGTGGACATGTGCGATCTCAGCTACAGAGCATCCTGCCCAAGAAAACCTGGCACACTCCATGTGACATCCTGCCCCAAACTGTTAAATAAACTAGTAACTCACTGAAATCCTTCAGCTTATAAGATGCCAGACAAAAAAGAAACAACTTCTGGAGATGTTGAAACTCTCTCTGCTTATGAGATAGAAGAACTGGCTGAAATTGATTGGAACCAATGTGTCCAAATGAAGTTTGCACAGAAAGAGCTTGTTGATGTCACAGCCTCAGTCAAGTTTGGCCACGTTTCATACTAACTCCCTGTGAATTTGCACGTGAGAGCCGTGAGGAGGTGTGAAGGGAAAACTGTGCGAGCCTGAGGACTTTCCAGACCTCCCTTTTCCTTCTACCAATTACCTACTAACCCAAGAATCCACCCCCTAAACCTTTTCTAATGAAGTTACTGCCTTAAGGTCAGCACGGGAAGGCAGATTTGAGCTGCACTTCTCTCTCCTTATTGGTTGATCTACAATAAGAAGCTTTTATTATTTTCTCAAAAAAGAAAACCAGTGTCTTGGTATTTGCCTCTAGCGCACCGTGAAGTGAGCCCCTTTGGCTGAATAACACGTGCATGGAGTAGGCGCCAGCCACAGCTTAACTCCAAGCTGCATTTTCCTGCTGGACCACCTGAGCCTTGGGTGGCTAGATCCTACAGGGTGGTTGCTTCCTGGCTTCAGAGTCTCATCCATTTTCCTGAGTACCATTAAAATATATTAATTTCTGCATGTGCCTTGGCCATGGAAGGGATGAGTGTCTCCTCTCCCGGGCTCCCCGATGGTTGCCAGGCACCTGTTTCTGTCTGAAATAGGACAACACACAGGATTTCAGTCTGTGCGTTCTGCTGGAGCAGGGCCCTGGCAACCAGGGGTGGAGCTGCACAAGCCTTTGGTCCCATGGAGGGCCCGCTGGCTGCCAGCCTCCTTACCTCAACTCCTCCTGGTGATGACCAAGGCTTGGTGCTGACGTCTGAAGACTTAAGCAAGGCCGGGGTCGCACTGGGTTTCACTGGGAGATGACGGTATTGCTTTGTTTGTTTTCGTAATAAGCCAGCAGGATGTGAAGAGGGAAAACGAAGTGATCACAAGTGTTTCGTCCTTCCCAAATTGAAGAATAACAGAATCCATAAAAATTATGGCTTGATTTTAAAAGTCTAAAAAAGCCTGAAGTCACTCCAGCTCTTCAAAAACTTAGAAACACTGAATTTGGCAGCAAACCATGAGAATTTGTTGGCTTTCTTCTTTTCTTTCTTTCTCTTTCTCTCCCCTCCCTCCTTTCCTTCCTTCCCTCCCTCCTTCCTTCCCTCCCTCCTGCGTCCCGTCCTTCCCTTCCGTCCTTCCTTTCTTCCTTCCTTCCTTCCTTTCTTCCTTCCTTCCCTCCTTTCCTTCCCTCCCTCCCTCCCTTCCTTCCTTCTTTCCTTCCTTCCTTTCTTCCCTCCCTCACTCCCTCCCTCCCTCCTTCCTTCCTTTCTTCCTTCCCTCCTTTCCTCCCTCCCTCCTTCCTTCCTTTCTTCCTTCCCTCCTTTCCTTCCTTCCTTCTTTCCCTCCTTCCTTTCTTCCTTCCTTCCTTCCCTCCCTCCCTCCCTCCTTCCTTCCCTCTTTTCCTTCCCTCCCTCCCTCCTTCCTTCCCTCTTTCCTTCCCTCCCTCCCTCCTTCCTTCCCTCTTTTCCTTCCCTCCCTCCCTCCTTTCTTCCCTCTTTTCCTTCCCTCCCTCCCTTCCTTCCTCCTTTCCTTCCTTCCTTCCCTCCTTCCTTCCCTCCCTCCCTCCCTCCCTCCCTCCCTCCCTCCCTCCCTCCCTCCCTCCCTTCCTTCCTTCCTTCCTTCCTTCCTTCCTCCTTTCCTTCCTTCCCTCCTTTCTGTTTCTTTTATTTTCTTTACTTTTATTTTTTTCCTAAAGACAGAGCTACTCAAAAATTAAGCAGAAAGAGAGAAACCCACTGATTGCATTCAAGATGTGTTTATGGGCCCACGTGTGTTTAAGGCTGATATTCAAAAATTAATATGGTCACTAGAAAATAGCAATCTATCCCACAGGTTCATGAAGACAAAGACAAAAATTCCCTAAAATGATCT